CCACTTCTGTCTCCAGGTGAAGCTGCCCCCTCAGAAGGAAGTGATCACGTCAGATGAGCTCATGGCCCATCTTGGTGAGTGATTGGGTCTTGGAGAGGAATTACACAGAAGGTTCAAGAGCTTACCCTTTCCACTCAGCCAGAAATCCAGAATATTGAGGGACTTCCCATTTCGGGCTCTGATGTGGCAAGGAGGGTGAAGGTCTACAGGGCTTCTGTGCAAGGCTGGGGAATGAAAAGCAAAAATCAAGGCATCGGGAGTTGGGGATTGTAACCCTACTTCTGCCCTGAGATTTTGATGTGACCTTGGGTGGGCCTTTCACCTTCGTCAGTCTACTTCTTCCTCTGAGAAGTGAAAGGTCTGGATTAGATTCTAAGGCTCTTTCCAGCTCTGAAAGTCTGTGGTCCATGACCGTTCTCCAGAAGAGGAAGCAGCTTTTGGGACAATTGGGGAAAGCTGATGAGGGATCCTATTTTGTAGGAGACTGCCTCCTGTCCATCAAGCCCCAGGAGAAGTCAGAGGGACTTCAGCTTAATTTTCAGCAGGTGAGGCAAAGGTCTCGGGGCACAGGAATTTGCAGGTTTGTAAGGGGACATGTAGGCTACAAAGAGAAGCCTTTCTTTTGCTTCTCAAGAAGGCCCCTTAACTATGATTTCTTTCTGCAGGAGGAGGAGGCCATATCTCTGTCCTAGAAAATATGTTCCCTTATATAAGATAAAGAAGGGTTGAAGCAAGGGAGGAATGGCATGGCCTGTAAGAGAACCAGGGAAAAGAAGCAACAGGATTAATTTTTTAATTTGTGGAGCTAGGATTCAGGACAGTGGAGGCTAGGGTAGCCATCATTTTATCCCCCCCACCCAGCTTTATTGGGATATAACTGGCATATAAGACTGTGGGAGCTGAAGGTGTATATAACGTTTTGATGTGATATAGGTATCATTTTCTTTTCTAACCCCAGAACGTGGACGATGCAATGACAGTGTTGCCTAAACTGGCCACGGGTCTGGATGTCAACGTGCGATTCACAGGGGTCTCTGACTTTGAGTACACTCCTGAGTGCAGCATCTTTGACCTCCTGGGCATACCTCTGTACCATGGCTGGCTTGTTGACCCGCAGGTGAGGGTGGGATGGCTCAAATGAGACTCGCATCCGGCTCAAAGCGAGATAGACAAGCAAAATTTTATGGGGTGGGTGTTAGGGAGTTAGGGGTTAGATTGGCTTGGGAATGGAATAGGCTTCAGAGGCTGGACCCAGTGCAGAATTCCTTGAATTTTAACCTTTTGGGGGGGTGTTGGTGAACATTCAAATACAGGCAAACCGTATGCAAGTAGGTCAGTTCTTTGGAAATGGAAAGTTTCAGGAACCTTTGGTTGTAGGGTTGCAATCCTGTGGGCGGGCTTCATTTCCTTCCTAAAAAGATCTTCGTTGTTTTGGTACCACCCCATGCCACCGCCGGTGCAGAGTCCTGAGGCTGTGAGCGCAGTTGGGAAACTGAGTTACAACCAGCTGGTGGAGAAGATCATTACCTGCAAGCACTCTAGAGACACCAACCTTGTGACAGAAGGTGACAGCCCTGCTCTCTCTTCTGTGGGTCTTAGGTGGAGGGAATGATGGCTGCCTACGTTTATTGCTTATCATCTGTCTCCCCCCACCGCATTCCCCTAGAATGGAAACCCCATGAGAGAGAGAGTTTGGGAGAGGTGCCTGGGTGGTCAGTGGTTAGATAGCTCCTTTCAGCTCAGGTTAGGATCCCAGGATTCTGGGATTGAGCTCTGCCTGGGGCTCCTGCACAGCAGGAAGCCTGCTGTTCCCTCTCCCACTCCCCCTGCTTGTGTGTTTTCTCGCTCTCTGCCAAATAAACAAATAAAATCTAAAAAAAAAAAAAAAAGAGAGAGAGAGAGAGTTTGGGGAATTGGCTGTTGCGTTCAGGACGTAGCACAAGGTGGTCGCTCAGTAACTATTTGTTGAATGAATGAATACAGCCAGGCTTCAAGGGATTTCAGAAAGCGGGACTATCTGCAGAGCTCTGACAGGGACTCTCTGGGTGATCCTTCTTCCTACTGGGGACTTTGGATTGAAGCCAAGCCCCTCGTCCCCCAAACTTATGCCCTTCTGACAGGCCTGATTGCGGAGCAGTTTCTGGAGACCACTGCAGCACAGCTGACCTACCACGGACTGTGTGAACTAACAGCAGCTGCCAAAGAGGGTGAACTTGGTGTCTTTTTCCGAAACAACCACTTCAGCACCATGACTAAGCACAAGGTGATGAGGCTTTGGAGAGGGGGGTGGGGGTGGAGTGCTCTCACTGCCTCGTGGTTTCTTCTTCCGGGTCAGTGTGTCAGACAGGATAGGGTAGATTAAATTCAGGTGACAAATCACCCCCCAAATCCCTGTGCTTTACCACAGCCAAAGTTATTCTTCATGCTGGATGGCCATTGTGGATTGGCTGCCATTCTGTCCCACATTGTCTTCACTCTGGGACCCAGGCTGACAAAACAGCCTTAATCTGGAATATGGGAGGGAAGAGATGGGGAGGGACACCGTGCACCCGCTTTTAACGCTTCTATCTAGAGACGAAACCTGTCGTTTCTCCTACCTTCTCACTGGCCACAGCAAGCCCTAAGAAATCAGCCTGCCCTCTACAGGACAGCAAAGTAAAGTCCTCTCCCCGGAAGGGAATGGAAGTACATGAAGAGGGAGAGGTCTTTGGCTCGCAAAGGATTTCTCCTCAGAGCCATCAGGCCAGCCCAGAGAGCCACTGGAAGTAGGGTAGACAGCAGCATCTTGTGTGGGACCCCAGCACCGAGGACTCACACTTGGACCACAGGGACTGCCACACTCCACGCCCCACCCCCAAGCCGATGGCACATGCATAGACATCTGGGCTTTTTCCCCCGCAGCCACACGTGTGAAGGATGCGTGTGCTCACAGCGACACGCTCTAACTAGCACACCAGACGAGTCAAATGGTCTTTGCATCTCAGCTGATTCCTGGTAGTAAAGTGCCTCTGGGTTGGCTCTCCCACCAACGAGTTCGTCCTCTTCTCTGCAGAGTCACTTGTACCTACTGGTCACCGACCAGGGCTTTCTGCAGGAAGAGCAGGTGGTGTGGGAGAGCCTGCACACCGTCGACGGAGACAGCTGCTTCTGCGACTCTGACTTCCACCTGAAACACTCCCTCGGCAGGGGCCCTGGAGCGGGGGGTGGCAGGGGCTCCCCTGAAAAGCAGCGCCAGGTAGACCAGGTATGTGGGCTCTTTGGGAAGGGGCGCGGAGAGCTAGTCTGCTCACGAGCTCTTTGCTGGAGGCGAGTAAGATGCGATTCCTCCTGTAGATGTCATGACCCACAAAACCCGTGCCCCCTTACAGTCACCCCTGGACCACCTCCGCACTTGGAGCAGTGTGTTCTCAGTCCCCACAGATGATGTACTTGGCTGTGGGTCTTGCCCTGGAGGGGGAGCTGGTGAATGTGAAGGAGAAGCAAGACAGGTTTGGAAACCTAAAGCCGGGCCGAATGTCCCCCAGGCCGCAGCCACCTCACTGCTTCTGTTCTCTCGGCCTCTTTCTAGGACTACCTGATTGCCTTGTCCCTGCAGCAGCAGCCGCAGGGCATGCTGGGTCTTAGTGACTTGGAGCTGGCCCAGCAGCTTCAGCAAGAGGAGTACCAGCAGCAAGCAGCCGTGTTGCCCGCGCCAGTGCGGGCCTCACCACAGGTGAGCAGCTGCCCCCAAAGGCCCTGAACCCCACTCTGTTCCTTCCCGAAGTGCCAACACTTGTCCTTGCAAATCCTGCACTTGTCTCTTTAAGGGGTTCCTCCCCCTAGGGTCCCATCTTCTCTCTCCCCACCAACCCTCCTGATCCTGCCCCCAGGACCTTCTAGAACCTCTGTCCTTGTACTCTTCTGGGCTGACAAGTAACCCACTGTTAAATCCCATACAGGGGAGAGGAGCCACGTCTGGTCGCCCAGTCGGGGAGCGTCGACAGAGGCCCAAACAAGAGTCAGATTGTGTCCTCCTGTAGCTTTGCCCAGTGCTGGGGCTGCCCTGCCTCTTTCTCGTAGGCCATGGCTGTGCTGCTTGCTTCCCCCAGCTCCACCCCTGAGATATGCAGGGTAACTTATTTATGGACTATGGGGGATCCAAGCAGGTGGTCAATGCCAAGGTCAGACTCGGTAACATCTTGCCCTCCTGTGCTGCTGCCTTCTCTGCCTCCCAGTCATCCAGGGCAACACTGGGGTTGGTGGGGTGAGGATTTCTGGTTGCCAGCTCCCCTTTCCCAGAACAGTCAACACCCACAGACGGACTCAGGCTCCAGGGTGAGGTCCCTGTTTAGAATGCACCTCCCCTGGCCAGGCCCTCCTGCTGATCCTGCTGGCCTGTCTCCAGTTGTTTCAGGGTTTGGTTTGGGTTTCTATCTCCATTATTTGTAACGCTTTCCTAGGGGTTTGGAAATAAAACTCGTTCCTGAGATCTGTTGTTTGCCTTGCCCTGTGGCTCTTGGGGTTAAGTATTTGACCCAATTAAGGAATGCAAAAAGGTGGGGGAGGTTATAGAGGCCCGCAGGGGGCTTTGCTTGTCATTCCTAATAGGGCCAGCAGGGGGAACCAAAGCCTGCTTCTTTTCTTTTATGTCTCTTTTTACTAGTTTTTGGTAGGTCTTCGAAATGGTAATCTGGTTTGGGAGGTGGGTTTCCAAGTCCCTGCTTTGGACAGATGCAGTTTGGGAGTTGTGCTCCCTGCTAACCTAAGACTTCCCAGGCAGGGGAGGGCAGATTGATCAGATGGTCCTTTGCTACCTCTATTTCTGACCTTATTCTGGCTCCTCTTTCTCAGTTACTTTGCCTGAAATTTCCTGGGGAAGAGAGAATAATTGAGGGGTGGGGGGAACCTTGAGGGGGGCACTTATTGCAGCCCTAGAGCCTCAAACAGGATCCCTGCGGAATATCCAAGTGCATATCAAAGGCACCTCCAGCTTCAAGGTCTCCTCCCAGCCCATGTCCTGCTCCACCCAGACTTCAATCAGGGAACACAAACAACAGTGAAGTTTGCCAAAAGAATTCAAGAAATCGGTGAGATGTTCTGGCCTGGGTATGGGAAGGATGAGTAGGGAAGAAACCATCAAAGAGCTGTCTATACCCAAGACAGATGGGGTACCCTGGTGCAGGGATCACTTTGAGATGAGGAAACTAAGGGATTCAAAAGAAACTTCAGATTCTAGCCTCAACAAGAGCTGGAGCATGTGGTGCTCAGTGAGGGGTTATCCTATTTGGAGGTCCAGCTGATTTCCTGCAGGCTCAGCCAAACACAGCACTCTCAGATCCTCGGATGTCATGGTGTGGTAGGGAGGGCAGGAGCCCAGGGAGGCCTCAGAGGTCTTCGGCCCTGCACAGGGCTAGTAGGGCTGACCGGCAGTCCCCTTTCACTGCTTCCTACAGAAAAGAGAGTCAAGTGTTAGATCCCACTACCACCATGGCCCAGGCATTCTGTTTCCTCCGTTGTGCTGGTCCACAACTATCTGATGTCAAGAGTTGTGTATGAAATTAACCAAAGACTCATGAGTTCTCCAGGGCATGAACATGCTAGGTGGTGTGCACGGAGGGCAGAGTGGAGGTGAGGGGTGAAGCTTTGGGGCTCTAGGTTAAGAACTAGCCAAGTCTCACCTGGAGAGAAGAGTAGAGGGACTTGCCAAATTTCTTTTTGAACTCAGCTCTGATGCTTAGAAGGTCAGTCTCACTTCGAGAGATAAGGATACGCATTAGGACTTGGTAATTGGGCTTGAGGTTCTGGTAGAGGGAGGAACAAGGGGGAGAGGGTGATAGGTAGTTAGATTCTCAGAGTGGAGACAGGACAGCATGGTAAATTACTCTAGAAAGGGGAAGTGAGGTATGAGTCCTGGCAAAAGAGAAGTGTACTTTATGTAAGAGGAAAATTTATCCTTGTCCACCCTTATGGAAGGTGATTCAGTGGGAAAGACCAGTGGGAGCAGCTGGGGTAGCTCTCCCTCTGGCCTTGTGTCTTTCCTGGCCATGCCACTAGCTTAGAGCCTCATACCTCCAGATCTCAGCGGTGGGCGGTTCCAAAGTCAGCTACTCACAAAAAGGATAGGAGAAACTTGCTACCTATAAAGACTTCCAGCATGAAAGCCAGGAAGTTTTTAACTTCCAAGTTAGTGAATGTCCAGGGACGGTATACCCAGCCTATCCCCACACTGAGCTGATGGAGCTCTGAGAAGGTGCAGGGTCATGTGACTTATGGTTCTGAGCCTGACCTACCAGGGCCACCCCACGGCCCCATCTATATACACCAGTTTCTCCTGGTTTGACCCCTGGGGCCCAACATCACTGTCTTCCTCCTAAACCTGCACCAAGCCTCCTGCCTTTTGGTTAAAGAAGGTAATGCAGGGTTTGGCTTAGAAATAATAGAGGTATAATATGTGAGTTATAATTGTAAATCATGAATTATAATTGATTAGATCAAATCATGAATGCTAACGGATCATAATAAATGTGTTATCATGAGAGATTTCTAAATAAAAACATTGGTTGCAAAAATTCTATTTATGTCATGGGCTGGGCGCTGGTGCTGTCAGAATTTCCTAATAGCTTCTTTCCCAGCGTTTCCTGTTACTTGACTCACGAGACCCTTCCCAGAACTGCCTGATACCCACACTTCTGGCATCTACACAAATCATAAATTCCCATAAAAAAAAAAAAAAGGGAAATGAGGAAGTAACAACAGGATGCTGTATTTCATTTGGACTTATTACCTCATTGTCTGCTCTGATGTCTGCTTTATCTTAAATTTCATGTATTATCAATTTTGAATTGTGATAAAGATTATTGATGGCTCCCCAATATTCCATTCTTTCTCTTCTTCCAACTCTTATTACTTCAAAGTCATAGAATTGGGGCAATGTCCTCACTAACTGAATATTCTTACTGATGCATAAGTACCCTTTCTAGCAAGCCTACATTAAACATAATTCTTGCCTTGTTCCTTGAGAACGTACTTGGCATCTTATACTTCCCTGGGAACTTTTAACAAGCATTCATTCTTTGGTTCAGACTGGTCCAAATTTTCCTAGGTCGGCTTTCACTGAAGGTCATTTTTCTGAATAAATATTTGTCACAACGTATGTTTTCACATATTTCTCATGAGAGGATAAAACTGAAGCATATGATTGAGTTTTTCCTTTTTAAAAAAAGTTTTCAGAAAAATAGGCCTATATTATTTTTTGACTCCTACTTCTAGGATAAACCTGGCATTTACAGCCAAGAGTGTGGGTCCTACAATCCAATTATATTATAATCACTTACTGCTGGGATATAAGTTTATTGATGACAGGAATTTAGACAGATAACCACAACTCTTCAAACCAGTCTTAGTGTTGGCTTGGTGTAACAGTACAGACATTATTGGGGAAGTAAAATATTTTTCTACTGTCAAAATGGAAATCTCCATTGATGATAAAATATGTACATATATGTACTATCTTTTGAATAATTGCCAATAAGGCATGGTGATTTCTCACTCAGTACACAAGAAGCTATGCCACCTACCAAAATGATAATTACTTTTATCTTTAAATTTGGATGATTTTTTTTATTTATAGATGTTGGGGACAGTTGCACTAATAGGAGGCCTCGCCCAATGAGTAGAATGACTAGATTCTGTGTATGGAATTATTTAAAACCAACGTCACCAATTTAAGTGTGGATAATATGGGACAAAGTCCAACTATTGTGGAGGAAGGTGGTCCTGGGTGCTAGGACTCTAATGGTATAGTTTATACTATAGTATAAACCAACACCTATGGTACAGACCAGGAGTTGACACATGGCAGTTCAATGTCCTAAAGGACCATTATGTGTGTGTGGTTTTTAATTATTTTTAAATTCCAGCATAAATAACATATCATGTTATTATGATATTATATGTTTTATAGGAGGCCTATATTTATTAGCTGTATATGACCTTGGGCAAAGAACTTTACCTCTGTACCTCAGTTGTTTCATCTATTAATTGGAATTTGTATAACAAGCCCAGCATAGGCCCTGGGACACAATGAACAGCCAAGAAATGCTGGTTCTTGTCATAATTCTTGCTAGCATTGTCACCATTATTACTCTGGTGACAACTGAAATTGGACATGGTGCTGTCCTCCAGAGCAAATTCATACCTATAGCTGGCCACCTAGCTATCAATTGGGCCCAAATTTTGGCATCGGTGCCCTTTTGAGTCAAACTCATTTAGCTTTAACCACAGTCCACACCTGCCTCTCTTCTTCACAAGACAGCAAGCCTAGGAAAAGAGAGCTGCTCTATGTTTATAAGCTAAATAGAAGGTTGTTACATGACCAACAGCGTGAAACTTCCTCTCTCTTGCCCAGAAGATGTCTCCCCCCAGTTTTTGTTCCAAGGGGAGGGAAAAGAAAACTCCTTCTCACCTGGAGGCCTTGATGAAGTTTATCGGCAAAGTACAGCGGTGTGTTCCTGATCACCGAGACTGGAAGCAGAGAGGGAGAGATGGAGAGAGCTGGCTTCTGAGCCAGGCAAGAGCCCTACCCCTCATGTGCTCAGCAGGCCCTACCTAGGCTGAGCAGGGCCGCCTGAGCATCTCCGTGGAAGAGGTGGTGGACGGTCTTCTCTAGCTCGTGGCCAGTACACCGCTGGTACTGATCGAACACTTGTGGTAGGTGTGGGAGGTAGTTAGAAAGATAAATGGGAGCGGAGATTGATAATCACAGAGAATGATAAGCCCTTGGCCCAAACTCATCATTACAGTAAGCTGGGAAGACAAGAAGTCTTGTGTGTACCTCGGACGAGGTGTTCAGGATTTCGCTGGGTGAAGATTAGGACCCATGTGCCCTCTGTGCTGGGCCCTTCAGCCTGCTTTAATGCCTGGGAGGGAGAAGTAAACTGGGATCATTGGTTGGGGGTAAGGGAGCCACGGTTGTGATGTTCCCAGAATCCATCATCATGGTGGTGGAAATGGGATTCAGAGTGGAAAAGCTTAATGGGACCTGTGAAGCTATTGCTTCTATTTATGGTTAAAACAGACAAACAAAAAAGGAATAGGGCTAAGAGAGGGACTCTGCCCTCACAGCTCAATTCCCCAATGTGGGGGAAATTCTGGCATTCAATGAATTAAATAATCTCCAAGGGAAGGTCTGAGGAGGGGTCCCCCACCCAGATGCCCCTGAGAGGAGACTGTGTCAGTTGAGGAGCTCACTTCCTGTGACTTCAGGAATCAGGGGCTAAGTAAGTGAACGGGCTTCACATGGTCACTAATTGACACTTCGTGTCCTCACCTGTCCCTGAGGACTCCTTCCCCAAGGCAAAGAGAGGTTTGCAGGACAAGTGGGTACACCTGTCCCTGGCTCTAGGCGCCACTGGAGGAGGGTGTCTTACGTGCACGGCCAGGCAAGCTCTTTGCCCCTGCTCACCTGGACATCCTGTTCCACCAGGTTATAGTCGATGATTCCAGAGTAGCTCTCGCGACCCCCCTAGAAGAAACTCTCTCAGGAGGACTCTCTGAGGGGGAGCTTTTTACCTCCAGGACAACCTACCACACTCCTCCCCTCAAAACCTTCTCTTGCTAATTATACCCAAGCAATGCTGCCCGCTCCCCCGCAGGCCAGTCCTCCTCACCTTGGCCAGGGCCAGGAGCAGTTCCTGCAAGATGCCGCTGGTCTCAGATTTGATGTCCTTCTCAGCCTCCACCTGGAAATCTGGGGTAGGGTTAGGAGCTCTCTGAAGTCTCCTGATTTTTCCCAGTGTAGCTATTCCCTGTCATATGCCCAGCCCACTGCCTACACTGCCATCTCTGGCTGGGGGTAGCTTGATGGCTGCCAGTTCCCAGGATGGAAGGCAGAAGCACCATCATGGCCACCCTGAAAACAGCCCGAAGCCACGAGTAACGCATGCGCTGTAGGGTCATGCAGCAAGCGGGGACAACCTGCTTGGGGAAGGAGGCCTTTGTTATTTGAGTGGTAGGCAGGCAGTCAGCAGGGACAGGGACACCTCCATTGTGAGGCCAGATGGCTAGGGCCTGGCCCCCTCACTGGAGGCAAGGAGAAGCGACGTGGAAGGATGTGAAGAAGTGAAAGAAAAAGAAGAAGGAAAAGGAAACCAGAAGCAAGAAGTGAGAGGTAGAAGATAGATTAAGACAGGCTGAGAATGGACACAAAGGAAAACTGGGGAAAGAAAAAAAAGAGGGGGGGTGTTCAGATGCGGAGGAGAGAAGGCCAGTAAGCAATTAGTGGCTGAGGCATGTGGCAGTCAAGCAGGGGCCTGAGGGGGAGTACCGATAACTCAGAGAGCAGGTTCCCCACCCTCCCCCCGGGGTTGCAGCAAGGTTCCATTCAGCCTGGGATGTGGTGTGAGGGCAAAATCAGGAAGGGGCTGGGAAGATGACATGGGTACTCTCAGGACTGTCACAGTGCCCAAAGTTGTCATTACCTTGGAATCTGCCCCAGAGCCCCCGACTAAGATGGCTAATCATTGTTTCTCTTTCTTTAATGATCACATCTGGCTCTTGCCTGGGGGAGACTGAATACTGGCAAGGGTGGGTGAGGGGAGAGACCCCAAGGGAATAGCGCTGGGGCATACAGGTTCCCAGAAGGCTTGCCTGTAGGGAGGGCAGGAGAGCAGGGGCTGTCTTGCCATCCCTTTCCCCGTTCCTCATATGCTCTTACTATGTTTGTAGACCATCAGGCACTCCTGCAGCTGGGCTGGGCTTCGGGTGGCAAGAATTTCCACAGCCACATCCTCCGGAGAACAAGAGCTCTACAAGAAATTGGGAGGCCACTTTGACACTGGGCCATGCCATGAGGATGGTAGAGAGCAGAGGCTGACCACCTGTCAGTGTGGGCTGTGTAAAAGGGACCCCTGACAAGTCAACCTTCTGGAGCAGGCAAAGGCAAGTCGGTCAACCCTCTCCTCCCCTCAATGGTGTCCTCACTTCCTTGATGGCTAGCGAGCTTCCACTCCTGGTACCTTTAAGGCTGTCCTCAATTCCTGGGCATCGAACTGGGCGGCAGGCTGCAGCAAAGTCATCACGATCCTCTCGAGGCTGCCAGAGAGTGCCGCCTGCAGGGACTTCCATAGGTCCTACAATGAATGGTCCCCATAGAAGAGGAGTGGAAACCATGGGGAGGGCCCCGGATGTGTGGGGATCTCTGGGGAGATCTGGCGGGCTGCCGTTGGCTGTACTCCACGTCTTCTAGGGGGCTGCTCACCCCAGTCTGCTGCTCTGGGAAGCCAGTGGCCTCACCTGTTGGGTGCGCTCCTGGAAGGCTCGAGAGATGAGCTGCCTTTGCTCTCTGCTCCTGTTGGTCAGTACACCCACGATGGCACTGCGGTCCACACCTGAACAGAGATGAGGGCTGGGCTATCAGCTGGGCAGAAGCCAACAGAGTCTATACAGGGCAGGGATCCCCTTCCTCCCAGACTCGAAGCCTCCAGAGGAGGAGAGAAGGCGATCCAGGAAAGGGCTGTGAACAGCAGGGGTTGCAACACCTCCACTTCCATTTGGCCTCAAAAGAAGATGCAGGGCTGCCTGGGGGTCTCAGCTGGAACTCTTGATTTCAGCTCAGGCCACAGTCTCAGGGTCATGGGCTCTGTGCTCATCAGAAGTCTGCTTAAGATTCTCCCCCTCTGCCCCTCCCTTCACCACTCCTGAGCGTGCTCTCTCTCTCTCTCAAAATGGAAAAAAAAAAAAAAGAATTAAAAAAGAAGACCCAAATAAGATGCCAAAATGGCATGTGAACCTGACCCAAAATTAGGTGAAGTTGACCTGGTGTGGTGGGGGAGAAATGGCTTGGTGATCATAGACTTAGATTAGAACCCTAGCCCTGCCATTATGAGCTGTGTGACCTTGGGCCAGCCTCTTTGTCTCACCAAGCCTGTTCCCTCACCTGTAAAATGGAAATAAGACTTACCTCACAAGGGTGTCCTGAGAATGGGAATGACATACCTACCATGGTACTTGACACACAAGAATTAAGGCATTCCACAAACATTTACTGAACAACATCACTTCCTCCTTCCTTCTCGGTCTGCAGACTGGTTTCTAAAAGGTGGATCCCCAGGGGCAGAGGGAAAAGGGCTCACCTTGGCCTGCAATGGCCCTCAGCAGCCTTTGCACGTCCTTGTCCACGCTGAAGCTCAAGAAGGTCCTGAGGGTGCCCAGGGTTCCCCAAGCTGCAGTCTGTAAGAGCATGAGGGGTGGGGGTAGGGGGGAGCATCACATGTCTGCACACGCCTGCCCCAGTGCTCAGCAGGGCCCTTGGCCTGCTCTCAGGGCCCGCTCTCCCTTTTCCCATCCCCTATTCTCTCACAGCCCTGGAGTTGATATAGTAACAACGATTCTGATGATCACAGTCCCTACCTTGTTGGCCAGGCCCAGGTGGCTGAGGATCTCCTGGGTCAGGGATGGTCTTGTCTTCCCGCTGGTTACAGACATGGTATGACTGGCTGTCCCAGGGAGGGAAACAGGAGCGAACTGTGGAGAATTTCCTGGCCCTTTGGGCCTCTTTATAACCCCCAGACCCCTGAGGCCCATGTCCCATGCTGTTCCTTTCCCATGTTGCAGAAAGAAAATAAACATCGACCAGCTTGGCAGGTTTGGGAGCCCAAATGGAGGGGTAAATGGAAGTCTCCATCTTCCCTACCTCTCACCCCTCCTTCAGGAAGCAAGTATTGATCAGGAATGCTGCTAGAATAAGCACCAAACAAACCCTCCCTGACTCCAGGGTGGGTCCCAAGGCTTCCAAACTTTGATCTCAGGGGGATGACCCCCTTCTGAGATCCATGTCCCTTCCTTCTGGTGGTCTGGCTAGGGATTCCTGAGGCGGTGCAGGGGAGGTGAGGTGATGTGGCTGGATGAAGTGTGTGGGGTGTGAGATAATAACTCCGAAAACACCCACCCCCCTTCAGCCCCGGCCTGGGAGTAAGTAAGCTCCTGTCCTCCTGCCCACCAGGCTGCCTACCTCTTGCCGGCCTTTCCCCCTCAGAGTCTCTGACAGTGACCTTCAGCTCAGCAGGTGGGACTCCGGGGCTGATGTACGTGTTCCTTTGGGTGCATGGGTGCCTAGACAAGGGAGCAAGCCCTCACCTTAGAAAAAGAAAACTCCTGGGGCACCTGGGTGGCTCAGTGGTTTAAGCCTCTGCCTTCGGCTCAGGTCATGATCTCAGGGTTCTGGGATCGAGCCCCGCATCGGGCTCTCTGCTCAGCAGGGAGTCTGCTTCCCTCTCTCTCTGCCTGCCTCTCTGCCTACTTGTGATCTCTCTCTGTCAAATAAATAAATTCTTAAAAAAAAAAAAAAGAAAAAAAAAGAAAAAGAAAACTCCTTTCTCCGTTTCCCAAGGGATCCACAAGCTTTCCCTCCTCCCTTCCCCCACGAAGGCCCAGGGCCAACGCTTACCCAGAGGTGCTGGGGGCGAGGTGGCCGCTGTCACAGCCTGGCAGCTGCCGGTGTGGGCACCAGCTTCTGTGTGGTCTGCTAGAGGAGAGGGGGCGTGTGCAGCCTGGGCTGGGCAGCCAGTCAGATGACCTCTCTAGCAGCCCCGCCCAGCTGTCATCTCCCACCCCCGGCCCCTCCCAAATGTGGGAGAGGACAAGGCCCTACCTGGTTCCACAGGCAAACCCCTCCCTACCAAGCATCTTTCCTCCCAGGAGCCAGGCCTCAGCCCCTGGAGAGAATTCTCCTAAGCCTTCGGGCGCTCAGCGGGACACAAGGGGCTTTGTGGGTCGCTTTCCCCGTGGGGCCAGGTGGGACCACAGAAGCCCAGTCTTTGAGTCCAGCTTCTGACCTGGCTCTGCCTCTGGCCCCAGCTCCCTGGGGGGACAGGTCAGACAGGCTCCAGGCTGATTTAGAGGCTGATAGAGAAAAACCTGTTGGGGCACATACCAGCGGGACACCCCAGCCTGCACCCCCCCAGAGGGGGTCTTAACCCCCAAACTCCCTATTACCTTATCAGAGCCAGCCAGCCTGGGTGGGAAGGGCAGGGGGACTGTTTGGATCTGTGGGGAAGAAAGAGAGCAGGTATTTGAGAGTGGGAGCAGATCAGCAGAGTCACGAGAGAAAAATGCAAAGGGTGTTCCCTGTGGACAGAAGCATCATGGTCCCAAAAGGCGACAGGGAGATGGGAGAGGCTCCCTGGGTTCCTGTGTCTTAGATTCCTTCTGGTGCCTTTTGGCTGCGACGCAACCACAGCAGCTAGGCTTGGGGCTGTCGGTGCACAGAGTAACAGCTGAACAGCCCTGGGGAGCCCGGGGAGCCCCTGAGCAGGCAGTCACTTGATCCCCATAGCCAGCTCCCTGGGACCTAGAAGCTGTCTCCTTCCTGCTTCCCTAGAGAGGTTGGGTGGGGACTGGGCACAGAAGCTGGAGGGCTGTTCCCACTCCTCTGTCCCTCTCCCCCCAAGGAAGGCCCTTGTTGGTTCTCTTACATCCCTGAGGAGGGATCTGCCTCTCTTCCACAGAGCAGACCAGACCTCAGAATGCATGAAGGGAAATTTCCTGGGTGGCAGTCACTGCTTCTCACTTTGTGTCCTGTTAAAGTGGAAAACATCCACCAATTTTTGCCATGAGAATGTGGGTTCAAGGCCCAGCTCTGCAGCTTTTTCTGTTCTGTAATCCCAGCTAGTCATTTCAGGTCTCTGTGTCTATTTCTTTACCTGAGAAAAAAATGGGACTGTTGGGAGAGGCTGAAGAGGCTGAAGTGTGTGGAGAGGGCATCCTGGGCACCTGAGAACAGCCTTCCTGGGAGGATTGAATTATGTAATATATGTGACTGCATTTGGCAGAGAAAAATGCCTTTGAAAATAAGTCTGCTAGATTTAATAAATAAAAATACAGGACACCCAGTTAAATTAGAATTTCAGGTAAACAAAAATAATTTGTTGGTATTAAGTATGACCCAACTTTTTCATGGGATATACTTAGGATAGCAATCATTTGTTGTTTATCTGAAACTGTGATTTAACTGAGCATCCTGTAATTTACCTGGCAACTTGGAAGATGGGACTCAGTTTCAGCATGGTGATTAAAAGCAAAGGTTCTGGAGCCAGACTTCTTGAACTCAGAATTCCGGTCTGCTATGTGACCTTAGCAATTATCTCAACTTTTCTTTCTTCTTTTAAAAATTTTAAAATATATTTTATATATTATTTTATATTTTATTTATCGATCAGACAGAGAGAGAGAGAGAACAAGCAGGGGGAGCAGCAGAGGGCAAAGCTGACTCCCCACTGAGTAGGAAGAGTCTGATGTGGGGCTCGATCCCAGGACCCTGGGACCATGACCTGAGCCAAAGGCAGATACTTAACCGATTGAGCTACCCCTACCTCAAACTTTCTGTGCTCAATTTCCTCATCTTCAAAGCAGAGGTAATAATAGTGTTTATATTATAAGCTATTGTGAGAATTAAATACATTAATACATGTAGAGCGCTTTATTTTTTTTATTTTTAAAAAGATTTTTATTTATTTATTTGACAGAGAGAGACACAGCGATAGAAGGAACACAAGCAGAGGGAGTGGGAGAGAGAAAGGCAGGCTCCCCTCTGAGCGGGGAGTCCTATGTGGGGCTGGAACCCAGGACCCAGGATCCAGAATCATGACCTGAGCCAAAAGCAGATGGTTAACCAACTGAGCCACCCAGGCAACAATTTAAAAAAGAGCTCTGCACAGACTAGCAGGTCCACATTTCAAAATGTTAACTTATATGTAACAATAAATATTGATATAATGTTATTTTATAATGATAACTGTTACTGTTAACTTGTCTCCCTGTGGAGTCCAGTCTTGGCTCTGTTCTGCAACTTCTATCTTGCCAATCTTCAATCTGGCCACAGGAGGGCATTAGAAGCCACCGAGAGCCGAGAGCCCCCTAGTGGCCACTTGAGGTCTCCAAGGCTTTGGCTCCACCCACAGATGTCCCCGGGGCTCTTTTTGCGCACTTGTTAGAAAGTGCAGTCTCCGGAGGACGGCAGGTTCTAGGTGGAGTTGGCGGGCAGGCATGGTCAGCAGAAGAGCCCCAAGGAGACACCTACTCAAGGGCCCCCCGACTCCCACCCCCGAGACCTCAAGACACTTGCAGGAGACTTCCTAGGCTGGGTTATGCCAATAGAGTGTCTTCGTAGCCCCAGTCCCATGCCTTTGGCCTTCTCTGCCCTTCAGAGTCCATTTCTGGGCACACGTTCCAAGTAGGTTTAGAGGGAAATGAAGGGAGAGAGAGAGGGCTCTTATTTTCTCAGTCCGAACTTCTGTGAGGGATTCCTGGCAGATCAGCAGGGCCGAATCCCGAGTTTGAAGGCCGCAGGCTGAACCGCAACCACACGGCAGAAGAGTAATCCTTGTGGTCCAGGAGCGTGAGGAGGGAGAATGTAAGATGCGTTTACAGCTGCTTCACTGAAACTTGGTGGAATCTCACTCCTTTTGTCCTGGTGTTTTGTTTTGCTTAACTCCAGGGCCAGATTGAGGTTGTTTTCCAATTTACTAATCACTTTTCACCCCCGTGCTCTAAATTTTAGAATTTCAGAGTAGGAGGGGTTCTTGGAGATGACTGGTCTGCCACCCTCTTAATCTGACTCAGGAAGGGGAGTGAACCAGATCCAGGTCTCCTAACTTCTCCTGTGCTTTCTTCATTACTTGGATGAGGGCATAGCTGATTTGGGGTCTTAGTGAAGGATATAGGGGACAGGCGGTAAAAATTACAGCCTCAGCTGTTGACTCATGAATAAGGTTTCAACTCCAACTCCATATTGCTCTTCTGCAAAATCTCGCACTGCATGCTTTCTGAATGCATAGAAATTCCTCCTGGGTATTTTTCTCTTTTTATGAAACTGTTTCTCCCCAGAGCTCCTGACACCTGAGTTCCTCTGCTCACATAGTAGCCATGCTCTAGTCCTTTACCCAAACAGGCTTCTGCGTTGCACAAGCCACCCAGACTTTCCTCAGCTGGGGTCCATGTCTTTTGCTGTCCTAGAAGCCTGCCCAGATACTTAAATCCCAGCTTGAAGGCTGATGGTGTCCTCTGCCTCAGGCCACCTCAGCAGCCCTTACAGAGGAAGTGAGTCACAGCAAGGAAGGCAGCTTGGGGCACTGTGGGCGTGGCCATGCCTGCCCAGGGCACTGGGGGATGGGTCAGAAAGGTGGTGATCAAAATCTCCTGGTCCAGGGGCTCCTGGGTGGCTCAGTGGGTTAAAGCCTCTCCCTTTGGCTCGGGTCATGATCCCAGGATCCTGGGATCGAACCCCGTGTCGGGCTCTCTGCTTGGCGGGGAGCCTGCTTCCTCCTCTCTCTCTCTGCCTGCCTCTCTGCCTATTTGTAATCTCTGCCTGTCAAATAAATAAAATCTTAAAAAAAAAAAAAAATCTCCTGGTCTAGCTGAGGTGGGGAGTGTATGTGTATGTGTGTGTGTGTGTGTGTGTGTGTGTGTGTGTGTGTGTGTGTGTGGCG